TATTGACCAATTTCTGAGTGCCATCGCACACCTCAGTCCTTTCAGCAGACCTGGATGACTCTGAGAACTCCCAAACCCCTTTGATCTCCTCGTACGTACAGTTAACGGGTGTGTCGGCCCTTAACTGCTGGACACAAACCCCTAGTAATAAGACACACAGACTATGAGTTATTTTCAACATTTTGTTATAATCTCTGTTAATAATAAATTATGCTTTTATATATAAATTAGTTAAATCTATTGATAACTCTGTTGGAGGGTTAGACTTAAGACAATCCAATTATGTTATCAAAAATAGGTTTCAATAAAATTGTCACAATTCTGCAATAAAAATCGATATTTAGTTTAATTGTTTTAAAAATAATAAATATAAGAGTTAAACTTTAGTTTATTGGATAACAGATACTATTATCTTATTACAAGTGAAGTGAACATATCTTTGTTCTTTTAATCTAATCCAATGTCATATCTAATTGTCATTAAATTCACAATTTTTCTTAGAATCCATTCACTGTATTGTTTGTTTGTCTCAACTTATTTTGATACATCTGTTATGTACTCATCAATTAAAACAAAAAACATATTAATTTTAAGATTCTCATAAAATTAAAATACTTTTCTAATAATTACAAAAACTGTTATCATGCTTCAAACACTTATCATAATGCACTCAAGGAACTTTATAAAATCATGGGATCATCAAATGACAATGATTTTAGATGTCAGACAATATCAGGGACACCTAATATTGTATTTTTTTTGTTCAAGTATTGTACTTTAAAACTTGAACAATTCTTATATTATATTTTAAAATAATTATATCAAACAATCACTAGAACTGATCCAAAAATATTTTTATTTATAACATAAATCACATTAAATATTATGATTAGGGATAGGGATGGCCTCGACGGCGATGCTTTCAATATTGCACTCATTGTTTCCACGACTGATCTGAAAGTATCCCTTTTGTCCCCAACTGCCGCCCCAACTGTTTTTGACGATCCAGTACTTCTCACTCGTCTTGGCGTCGGTGCCGTAGCCCACGATCACCACCACGTGATTAGTGATCGCAAACGGATTGAATTCAGCATTACTTTTGGTGTGTCTATAGACTCCGGTTTTGTAGGCAAAGAGGTCGTCGTAGGCCTCAAATGAGACGGCAAGGGGTCCGTTGTTGACCAGAGCCAGTCTCATCAACTCCTCATTGCAGGCCCCGTAAAAACCACCCACGTAATAGTAGTGGGCCGTATAGTAACGCTCAGCATTGGCTTTAGTAGTACAGGGGTCGTTACGTCCCGTGTACGGGAAGTTGGCCTCAGGTGTCAAACCATAGTCCTGTCCATATCTGCCCTATATTTATATATTATTTTTTAATTAAATTATTTTTTGGTAATGAAAATTATATATTGCTTACGGCAATGAGGTACGGGAAACCTCCGTCACATTTCTGGGAATAGGCCGAACAGCTGACCACATCTTGGGTCGAGAGCACCACCTTCTCGGTGTTGTTGGTCAGCACTCGTAGCCT